ATTGCAATGTATGATTTTATATACCATACTTAGATCAGACCAAAGATGGCGTAATTCAAGGTTTTCTAGGTCTAGAATTTCAAGTCTGGTGGCATAAGGTATTCTACAACGAGTAGAGGAGTGGAGAACTCTTCTTGTGAAATATTTCTGGACTTTCTCAACTGTGCTAATATCAGATACGAAATGTGGGTTCCAGACTGATGAGCTGTATTCGAGTATTGGTCTAGCAAATGTTTTGTATGCTCTAGTTAGTAGTGTAATATTACCAGAGAAAAAGCTACGTAGGATTAGGTTAACAACTCTTAATGCCTTTTTGACTATGTAGTTACAGTGGGCTCTAGCACTTAGATCATCAGAGACGAGTATTCCAAGGTCCTTTACAGAGTTTGGATCATCAACAAGATCTTGACTATTCAGCTTGTATTTTATTTTCTGATTTTTTTTGCCAATATGTAAGACAGAGCATTTATTTGTTGAGATTTGAAGTTGCATTTGTTTGACCACTCTGATACATAGTCAAGATCTTTTTGAAAGGTAGCAGTATTGTCTGTGGTATTGAACAGCTTTATATCATCAGCAAAAAGAACGCAGTTGCTCTTAATATGATCACAGAGGTCATTTATGTAGAGTATGAAGAGAGTTGGTCCTAGAACACTGCCTTGGGGGACACCACTATTGACAGGTACAGAATTTGATAGGACACTACCAATTTTGACCATTTGTTGTTTATTTGACAGGAATGCTTCTATCCAGTTATGCAGTTGTCCAGAGATACCATAAGATTTTAGTTTTAGGTATAGTTTGTCGTGTACCACTGAATCAAAGGCTTTACAGAAGTCTATGTAGATTGCGTCTATTGTTCTGCCCTGATCGAGTTGTGTAGTCCTTATGTTTTTGCAGTGTAAGAGTTGCAGATTACAGGACAGTTTTTTTCCTGAAACCAAATTGTTTATTGGAGAGTACGTTGTTTGTGTCTACGTGGAGGATAATGGATTGGTTAATAATTGATTCCATTACTTTACAGGTGACGCAGCATAAGGAGATTGGTCTGTAATTTTCAACTAGGCTGGGGTCTTCCTTTTTGAAGATGGGGATGACCGTGGCTTGTGATCAGAGGTTAGGCAAGGAGCTGATCCTGAAAGATTTTTCAAAGATTATGCTTAGAGGTTCGACTATGGCAGTGGATAGCTTTTTTAAGAAGTAGCACATATTCCGTCCAGTCCAATAGATAGAGATGGTTTTAGATTGCGTAGTGCTTTTTCAACATTATCTTCTGTAATAAGATAATGTATGTGAATCTGCATACAAATAATCTGTATTATTATAGAACAATAGCACTGCAGAAGTGAGTCTCCTTTAAATGTTAATCTGAAGCAGTAATATGAAGGTTATACCTTAAAATTTTAACTTATTTGCAGTTAACTGAATCCATTCTTTGCATTGATTTCATATAAAAACAAAAATCTTTTAATTTAGTTCTCTGATAGTGAAAGAAGACAGTTTGGCTTACAGCCATCCAGACTTTTCATAGTTGTGCCAAATATAAATGCAATCCTGCGCATTTATCAGCTTCAATGGGTGTTGCAAATGGCAGGCTATTTTTTATATTTTATTTATTTATAAGATTTATTGACCAGTTCAGTTGAAAGTGACAGCACTTGATATATAATGTAAAATGTAATAACAGTATAGAGACAGATGATTGATAGATAGGTATGTAGGTAGATAGGCAGGCAGAGATAAAGATAGAGATAATATAACAGTAAAACCAATTGTTCTGCTGCTGAAGTCCTATACAATTAACCTCCCAAGACCTTCTAAAACATAAAGATATGAATCATGATTCTCACTGCATCTTGTTCCAGATAAGGCCTCTGACCTAATATACCAGCTGAGCAGATGGTAGGGCCCCGAGTATTTCAAAGCTGATCGATTGGAATTGTTATTTCCCGCAGAGAGGCACTGACTATGCCTGAATCTAGTTTCCCATTCCCACTCTGGCTGTCCTTGTTCAGGGTCAGGAATCCATGTTCATGCAAGGCAAATCTTACCTCACTTCCTGGTCAAAAACTTCTCAGGTAGCATTACAAGATTACCTCTGTCATCTCTTCTTATTCTGTCCATTCTCTTTCCACTTATAGCAAGTATCAATTTTACCCATTAAATGTTTGTCTGCTATCTTGATAATTATCTTGATAATCCCGTAGTAATGGCAGTAATGGCAAAATAACCCAATTTCTTCATTCTTATCACCAGGGAATAGGTGAGATTTCACCAGTATTCAACAGAATTCCTTTCCAGATGTCTAAGAAAATTCTCAAGATAAAGGCTAAATCCAATATATGGCCAGCTTTGTGAGTCAGATGACCTACATCCTGAATGTAGGTGATCTACAAGAGTTGTCTTGAGGACCATGAATTCTCAAGCTACTTCCAACTCAGACAACTCAACTTGTATATATACTGTATATATCATCCTTACAATGAGACTGATTAGCTCAGGAGGGGATGATAGTATGCAGCTGGAAAGATGGATATAATAGCCGTATCCGCAGTTTGTTCTCACACCCAGATAGAATAGCACTTCTCATAGCTGCCAAGTTTTCTCAATACACAATTACTGCTCTACCTTCCCTGCCTTGGGGTTGTTACCAACGCAATGGCCAAGATTTAGTCAGACAAATCTCACTGAGGGATAATTCTAATTTCTCATCCATCCAGGCTTTATTGATGCATATTAGGTCTGCATCTCATTCATATATATTTTGTGGACAAGATTAGATTATTGCAGATAAATCTGGCATTTGGGTTTAGTTGCTGACCCTCACTAATTCAAAAGCCCAACATATTGCTGATAGATACATTCTCAGGGTGGAGAAACAGGTGCTTCTGCCATTTCCATCATATTCAGGACGTCACATACCAATGACTCAGGTTTTCCAAGATATAAGTATCTTTTATGGTGGAGCTCAAATGTTAAACGAGAGGAAAAATGGGACATTACCACTCCATGCATTAAATCTCTCCTCTACTATCTACATAAGTCTGAACTGGGCCAAGGTTCTCAACTAAGAATGAACTTTGTTTAACTCCTAAGTGCCTTATCTACCAATCATGAAATGCTATTCAGATTCTAAGACAACGACCATCAATTTTATTAATATGGCATTTTGGCAATATAAAAATTAAGGAAAAGCTTTCCTGAGAGACTGAAATTAAATTTATCCTGAAAAAACTGGCATTCAGAAGGGAAAATGCTGACATGTTGGAAAGAAATGAATTTTATTGCATGTTAAATGAATGATACCATGATTCTAAAAGTTGGAGACCAAACATTTTTTGTCAGATTAAAAAAAAACCTTTGTTTTAAAGTCTGTGTTTTATCCCTTCGTTTTACCTTTTTTTTGGTACAATTTTTGCCATTCCCAGACAATGACTCGAACTGATTAATAGTAGTCTGAGAAACTCTTGGTCTCTGCAGTTTTAAAGAAGAGAGCAAACTTGTGAGGTCATGAATAAAACATTTCCAAAGCTAAACTGCTTATTTAAATATGGCAAATGCTTCAAATGCAAGTAAGCATTTTTCTGTTCACTGATTTCAATGAGAGTTAAGGGCACCAAAGTGAGAAATGTAATAAAGTAGTTAGATGGAGGAATGCTTAAAAGATTCCAATATATAATCCTCAATCAGCCACAAAACTGACTAGGTAACATGGACAGTCATTAATTTTTTGCCTAAACTACCTCACTAGCTTGTTCTGAAGATAAATTGGGATGTAAAATTGTTGCAGAAATTGCTCATCGTAAAGTGAGGTATCTCTTTTCCAGGGTTTTCTGTATGAACAATAATAATAATAATAAACAATCCAGTCTAAACATGTGGTTGACTGTGTGAGCAACCAAAATAATACTAATATACTGCCTGACACCCAGGAACTATGGATAGTTTACAAATTATGTTACAAATAACAAGTTAAAACATTAAAAATGAAAAATAGCACAAAAGACAAAAATGAAGAGTAAAGATGGCAAATTGACAAAACCTGAATGGAACAAAGAAAAACAACTCACACAATCTAAAGGGAGATTCAGTCACTTTCACCAAAGGCCTGGAGTAAGAACCAAGTCTCCAAGGCCCTCCAAAACATAAATTGAATGGGGGCCACCTCAATCTTGTGGGGAAACCTCATACCAAACAGCATTCCAAGTGCTGTTAACAGAGAAGGTGTGCTTCCAGTGTCCCAATGCATTGGTAAATCAAAGCTTCCTAAAGTGTGCCTTGATAGCAGATACTAGGGGAGACAAGCAATCCCTCAAGTAACCAAGCCCAATGCCATGCAAGACTTTCTAATGTCAAGACCTTGAATTTCACATGGAAGCAAACTCACAACCAAGTCTCACAGGGCTTGGAAAGGCAGAGCATAACTCATCACTTGAGGATACAAGGGCAGCTCCGCTATTTGGTAAAATGTAGCAGGTGTCCAAAGCTGAGTTGAGGTACTGTGAAGTCAAGAAAATTTATTCATGGATATGTAGCCCCATAGAAAGATACTTGTGGATTTTTCTGTCTCAGGTGTCAAAATCTTAGGAACTATAAGCAAATCCTTGACTGATATGAATCTGATTACTAAGAGCACATCCTGGAAAAAAAATACAACAAACTATAGGAAAGGGACATTTGAGCTTTTTTTTCTCATCAAATGGAAATTTAAATGTTCTCTGAACAGCAAGATTTCCATTTTTCTGGGAGTTTCCAAACTTATGATGAATAAGAGATCGATCTTCTCTGTTCTTCTGGGGCTCTTGAAAGCGCCAAAACAATTAGCAGAAATTGGTTTACCAGTGAAATAAATTCCCCAGAAAGCTACTGAACTTCCTTCATTGTCTGTGTTCCAGCAGAGGCTAGACACCATATACGACACCCAAGTGTGCACTGCAATCAAAACACCAATCTAGCGTTCACAAAGTTCAGTGAAATAATGAAGCAATCCGATGCTTATATACTTCTCAAACAGTTTATTTGTCATTGATACTAACTGTAATATTGAATGTACAGAAGAGTTATGGTACAAAGAAAGCAAGTTTTCAGTAGAAGTAATGCAACAGTCCAGCTGCTCTGCATGCTACTCACAATAAATTCTTCTGGATACATTGACCTTGTTATGTGGAAGGCCCTATGCAACTAGAGACATCGTAGAGTGGGTAAAAATGGACTGTTCTCCCCCATGGAAGAAAACACTCTTGTTTGGGGAGAACCCCTTCTAAAAGTGACCTATATAACCAGATCAGGTAAAGGTGTGCCAATTCTTGTACACAGTATAAGCTGATCATAAATACACCCAGGAAAAGTTGAATTAATGTGTTCTAACATAATTCTCAAAAGCAGCCCAATTTGCTATTTATGTTGTTCACTCATCATATTTACCACTTCATATCTCCTGAAACATTTCATTTTTATAACTTGAGTCTGCTACTTTTCAAATACCACAAATAACCCACAGTTGCTTGCACATTCTCCTACAACAAAAACAAAGATATTTCAATGTGTCACATAAAACCATGCTTTAACTGTTTACAAAGTAACTAAAACAGTTCATTTCAAAACCTAAAATAATTAAGCTGGAAGGAAGTTCTCTACAGTATTTAAGAAAAGTGAATTTAGAAAAGGTGTTGTGAAGGAGGAAAATGTCAAATACTTACAAGCATTACCAATATGTTTTATGAAGCTTTTAAAACTTATTTACATACATAAATACAATTATATCTCATGACAACCTTTTTATGACAAGTACAACAAAATAATTAGTGGATAGTATTGTCCAAGGGAAATCAACAAAAGGTTGATAGAATGACAAAATGTTGGAAACAAAAGGTTGGATTTTTTAAAAAAAGCAATTGTAACAAAATCTTTGGGGGACAGTAATTACTAATTTATTTATAATTATGTGTCATCTGTAGGAAATCAGCTTGGCCTTTTAATAGAAATCTTAATATGCAGAAATAAATAAGAACCATTTGTTCCACTGAACTATGACATAGGAAAAATGTTATTTCAACAGCAGTATCAGAGGTTTTTTAACCCCAAACATATAGCCATTTGAAATAACTCTTACTTTTTCTTTTTATAGGTAAGTATGTTTATAATCTCAGTTATGGAACCTGATAGCCCAGCAGGTTATCTTTTTTCAAATCAGTTCAGCTCAACTAAAATCAAATTCATTTCAATAAAGCAATCACTATTTGCTATTAAGCCAGGTACTTCATGATCTGTTTTACAAGTTGGTAATATTGTTGAATTGGAGGAAAAAAATTGTCAGATAGAAAAATAAAGCAAATTACTGTAAAAGGAATAGCTTTTTTTCAGGATCAAAAGGAACTCCAATGTGTAATTCATTTGTATAGAGTACAGAACAGCTGATGCTCTCCAAATGTTTTTTGACTTTGATGCCTAGCATTTCTGATCATTATTGAAATCAAGCACATCTTCAAAACACCCGCTTGAGAAAGGAAGCGTTAGAATATACCTTTCACAGGGCTTCAGATGAGTTCTACTTTAATATGTAATCAGCTTTACAGAGTTTGATTCTATGTTTTAGGAAAACAAAGCATTTCAAGCATGGGGCTAGTGAGTCCTAAATTAAGACTACCCAACTATGTTTCATTAAAATAGGAATTTTCCTCTGAGGTGGCCACTTGGAGAGATTTAGTGTAATCCGGTGTCTTTCAGCTATTGCATTTAATCTTCCCAAATGCCAGGTTAGGAATGGCTGCCATATAACCTTAGGGAAGATTATTTACCAGAGAGTGTTCCCATATTTTTTCACAGAATGCAGTCATAAGAACCAATGCTCCAAAAGTGGAAGCATCACAGAGGTTGCATACTATTTAAAGGCAGGCAAAAACACGGGATTATAAACACATCGCCTTGCAATTGTTCCTTCTGAATGAGATCCAACAGAAACTCAACAAATTTATTATCATGTGATGTCTGTATATTTGAAAAGTTCTATCTTTGTTTTAGCATTTCTAATTACACAGCAATATTTTGCAGGATAAAATCAAAAGTGATCAACGTCTTATAAAATTAAAGTCCAATGAAGTACTCCCCCCTCCATTACTGAAAATGTTTATGAAACCATTACAGTTATCCAAAGTGATGATAGATGAAATCCAACACATCTGGAAGATATCAAGTTAAAAAAATGCAGATTCTCTGTGCCTTATGAGCAAGTCCATACTTGAAGTCTTGAATATACACTTTTAAACTGACTGACTGCCAATAAAATTCTAATACTGACAATGTCATGAGAAAGACAGTTTGGAAAAGCAAATCTGGTTAGTTTACGGGAGGAGGGGGAGGAAGGCAATTAATTAGGACATCTTAAATATTAGGCAAAGAGCTCACCTGGGATAACAAAGGATTAATAAAATAAAGTAAGAAATAAGTAATTGTTAGTACTGTTTCATTTTACTCTAGGGAGTGCTATATGAGTTTACTTCCAGGAAGATATTGAAAGGTATGAAAAGGTAATAGTTGAAACATTAGATGTAGTGCTCTCAACTTAAGACTTTCCTACATCACTTCACTGTTTTCTGAATGTTTATGATATATTCTACAAGAAAGGATAGAATGGAACGCATGTAAGAGGAAACCGGCACACCTGCAAAAACTGAGTCATAGCTCACTGGTGAAGCACATGCTTTGCATACAGAAGGACCTTGGTTTAAATCGCTGACATTGCCAACTGAAAGGACGGTTAGCAACTATTGTGAAAAGCATCTGACCGTGGAAAATTGTTATTGATAGCACATCAGTCATTAGCAACAAGGTGTCTATAAATAGCACGGTATCTTCTAGATCCTCGCAAAGTAACTTTTGTTCAAATTAAAGCAATAATTAAAATTGCTGAAAACTTCATGAGAACCCTGTGAAATTATACCAACATCACAGGAGATTGCAAAAGATTTTGCCAATGGTGCTCAATGCCAGAAATATTGGCTGATTCTGAAGTAGGTAACATTGGGCTATGCAAACAAGTAGCCCGATCTGGTATAAGGCAGCTTCCCCGATTCTTGTAAGTTTAGTGCATTCTGAATACATGCAAAGTGCTTACACATGGCCTTTTGCAACTTTTCATCTGAACCTGGCTGACATCTATACCATTGCACATGCCAACCAAGCACTTAAAGCTTATTGGCTTCTCCAAAATCTTACCCAACTCAAGCTCAATGCTTTTTATTGTTACATTCTCAGAACTTAGAGTGCTAAAATGGATTTAATCCAGTATGTTTCTGGAAGAAGCTAGTGAATTGTGTTTATTGGGGCTTATTCTCAAGTAAGTATAGAGGGTACTTATTTCTGCATAAATTGGAAGAGAAGTGTGCTATTCATTATTCATGGATGTGCCTAGATATGAATTCTTCTGATAGAAATTGAGAGCGTTGGGTGGTCTTAAGGAGTACGACTGCATTCAGATCCCACATAAACTAGTGCTGCTTCATTTAAAGTGGCATCTTGTATGTTTGAAATGTATTAGAAAACAATGGCATATTGAAACAACTACCAAGTTGAGTTATTTTATAAAATGAAGAAGCACACCAAGTTACAGGGTGGGTTATGCAAACATAAACACACCTACAGATGGGAGGCCCACATTCCATATGAACCAGTTTTTCTTCAAGGGTTTATTTCTGGACCATAAGCATCCTCGGAAGGCTGAAAGCTTGAATATTGGAAAGATGTCAGGGTTGGGCTGCTTAGGACTTTATGGTATATGCTATGCCTCTATCTACTTATTGAAAGTGGAAGAGTGGGGTGCTTTTCCTAGAGAGAGAAAAGGTATCTGCATTTTTCTTTATATGTTATGAACAGACATTTGTGTGTCCATAAATTACACTTTAGTTTCCAGGGAGTGGTGAAATCACCTCTCTGGAGTGGTAGATGAGGTTCCTTGATCTTATTTTACTCATTTGGATTGCTCCCCCTCTTTCCCAGTGCACTTTAAATATAGCATATTTTTTAATTAATTTTCCTCTGAAAATCAGAATATCTGAATATTCTGAATTATCTGAATTTTAGTGGGGACTTTGGGAGTTACTCAGGTGACCAAAAACAGATTCAGTAGTACCCACGTTGCCCACCCCTCTCTTCTATAAGGGTGCAGAGGAGCTGAAGGTGAATGAGTGTATATATGCCTGGAATGAAGAATCCCATATTTGTTATTATTTGTTTGAACTTCAATTATGTAAGATTGCTAGAAAATCCTTTGGATTGTGTGCCATATGTGGGGAGGGACTGCAATGAATTTGGGTCTTCAAAACTGTGATTAGGATACAGCCTTAAATGAATTTTTGAATCTCCTTCTAGGGCAAGGGAAAAAGCTGGGATGTACTATATTCTGACCATCATGTGGAACTTAATAGTCATTTAGAATGCTAATATTTAGTGTGTTGTTTGATTTTTTTTTCATTTATGTCGTCTTTAAGAAAGTTGATGGAATATAAATATCATACTGTACTAGAAATTCTGAAATATATACTCTGAGACAAAGCTTTGCTTCCAGTGCCCAAGTCATCATCCAAATGCGGCAAATACAACCTAAACTTCTTATTAAAAGACATTATATCATCATAACATTTTCAAAGAAACCTGGCTTCTCAATTGGACAAAAGTGACTTTGTTTAAATTATTGATGAGAATGAAATGGAGTTAAATGTAAACAATATTTCTAAATAATTAAAAATCACATTATCCATAATTATTCCAGCCATTTTATATGTAATAATTTTAAACTTTGGTTGCTACAAAATGTATGTGCTTATTTTCAAAGCAAAGCATTATTTAAATAAAAGTATCACACACAAAAGTTCAATGCAGAGCATAAATATTGAACATCTCATCATGTACTTTTTCAGTAGTTGAGAAGGACTGTAGGTTGTCACTCCTTTATATTAAAAAAATTAAATTACTTTTCTATAAAAGAGGCTTTTATAGATGCACTTAGCTGACAAAGTACGAGAAAAGCGAGCACATTAGAAAAAAAAGGATTAAATCTTTCTGCAGATTTTAAGGTGCCAATAAAGGAAGATGATACACAAAGAAGGATGAGTTGCAGCTGAAAAACATAATAAAAATAAAAACAATTCCTGTATTCTTTGGGATATACAACTTGATTAAAAAATTATTTCCAGGATATAAAAACTCTTATTCACAGCATTGCTAAATTAGAAGCATTCACAGTTTCTCTCTGAGAATCGTTGTATACTTCCTTTTAACTTACAAATCAAAATGATTGATTAAATTATTTAAGATTGTGTAAGACTGAATGCCTCAGCACCAGATGTCAAACAAAATACTTCAAATTTCAAAGTCTGAAACTCTGGACTGAGTATCTATCCTTCTCCAGATTTATAGCCAACATGAGTGAACAGAACTACCATCTTAAAATGTTATTATTTTCTGAAGTTCAGACTTGGAAAAAGTCTATGGGAATGTAATCACTTCACTGAGCAAAATCAGAGAACATCATAGCAATATTTCCAGAAATACTGACTTCAGAACTGATTGTTATTCTGTGTGAAAGATAAACATGGCAGTGCTCTCATTTGACATATAAAAGCATGGATATTACCAGAATAGACACTTGTAATAATAATTCAATATGGTCGCCACACTGCTTCTTCTAATCTTGCTGTGGTCCCCATGTTGGTGGGGGAGTTGCTATGACTGCCTTCAGTGTCCACAACATCATTTTGGTTTGGAAGGTTGGGATTGAGTAAAGTAGATCCGGTGGAAGCATTAGTGCAAGGAGGCAGAATACGTGGGGGAGACCGATCACCACCAGACATCATGGAGAATTGGTAAGATCCTGCTGATGTTCCATAGTAGAGATGATACGAAGGAGAGCTGGTCTGAAATGGGCTACCTTGAGCCTGAGAAGAACCTGGATAGGGAGGTGGTAGGTACGTGTGATATCTGGTGGCGGTGGTCATGGCAGACATGCCAATTCCTATTCCTGAGCTGACTGGGGTTGGAGTATAGGTGAAGGCTCCAGGATAGTGCATACGAGGATCAGAAATGGAAGGAATGGCAGAAAATGGACGATCAATTCCTACTCTTGGATCACTGAACGCTGTTAGGTCAGAAGCACCTGGTTTGGGAGAAAGGATATAAACATAAACAGATATAAACTGTAAGAAAAATACATGACTTTATTTCATTTAAAAGAAATCACTCAGATTGATACACAGGTGACCCCTCATGACTTGTAGCCCGATTACCTGCAGTTTTTCATATGTGCAACTGATAGCAGCAAGCCACAGAGCACTGTGATAGTCATATGTTTAATAAGAAAGAAGCAACCATGAAAAAGATTTCAGTGTTAAGGTTTGCAGGTCAAATTTGCTTTGTGAAAACAAAGAATAGTTTTATCCTGAACAGATGAGTATGATGCTTGGGCAGTTATTTAGGAAAGTGCTGACTATTCATTTCCTTCAGTATTCCAGGCAAGAATAGTGTTATTGGGAAGGTATAGCTTGAAATACTTTGCCATGCCCCCTGCCACAAAACCATCAACAAGAATTTATCTGATTTTTGCTTTTAAAATAATGATAAAAAAGGAAAAAGAAACAAAACAAAACACACACACACACATATATATACACACACACATTGTAAAAATAATGGTGAACAAATTAAAAATGGAAAGAAAAAAGTATTTATTTTAGCAGTGTATAAGTTGTCTACAGTAATTATGCAAATATATATATATTCTAATACAGGGGTCCCCAACCACCGGTCCGCGGACCGGTACCGGTCCGCGGAACAACTCCTACCGGGCTGCGGCTTGCTAGGCGCCGCCATCTTTTTTTTTCATGAAAAAGTCCTTCCGGTGAGCTTTTCCGGGTAGAAAGCTCACCGGAAGCACGTTTTCATCAAAAAAAGATGGCGGCGCCCAGCTGATGCCGGTACCGGGCCGCGGCGCCCAGCTGATGCCGGTACCGGGCCGCAGCGTCAAAAAGGTTGGGGATCACTGTTCTAATATAATACATCTAATATAGTATGTTTTTTTTTACCTTCTGTAATTTCTAAAATTAGTTCCTGATTTCATTATATTTGTCCACACAAAGCCTATGTCTAGAAGCAATCTGCTCACAGGTGGCAAATGCTGTCAGGTCTCCAATCTAGTGAAAGGGGCCATATGGATATCTTTTCAATGCTGTAATATCAGCCTTTTGGCCCACAAAAAAACGTAGCGGCTTGGAACTACCATTTTCTTGATTTCTTTTCCTTTAGTGATGCATTTTGTAAATCAGGCAATGAATGGGAAGTGTGGTAATGTTTCATTAGTAGGAGATAAATCAGGTTCGTCTGAGTGCTGGTCACACTGAGAAACAAATGAAGCTGAACCTTTCCACAGATCCACCTTTCACATCAGCGATTGTCATGAGGAAATTTAGGAGAAGAGAAGCTAAGCTAGTCCCAAGCAAGCAGACACTTCTGTTCATTTTGCAGGGATCATTTAAAGCAGGGGTGTCCAACCTTGGCAACTTTAAGACTTGTGGACTTCAACTCCCAGAATTCCTCAGCCAGCTTTGCTGGCTGAGGAATTCTGGGAGTTGAAGTCCACAA